ATGGGAGTGATCGAGCCCGAAAAGCAGGGATCACAAACACAGGCGAGGCGGGTGGCAGCTCCCTCACTCGAACTGAGTGCAGAGTAATCTCAGCGACGTCAGCAGTCTCGCTGGCGATTCTAATCTAAATCCAGATTCAAAAGCGATTGCATTCTTGACGAACCTATCCAATTTGATTATGTGTTGCACCTCTTCATTCCGTCATCATGCTACTGGTGCCAAATATGGAATTTAGTCTAAAAATGTATTGATTCCAGACAGCTTTACTCATTTGCCTTCATTCGCTCGTTCTCGCCTTTTCACTTTGTTTTGTTTGTAAACATTGCGGTGCACCATCTAAACTTCTCTATTTAATTAATTTCTATACGTAAATATCGCATTGTTTGCAATATCTTTCTTACTTTTGGGAGAACTATTGTGATCGTTCACCATCAACTATTGTATTATTCACGTCCACGTGCAATCTTGCAACAGATGGCGTTCCTCTGGCGTTCGCTGCGGGTGTGCCAATATCATTCCAGGAGTGCTTCGAAGAAGGGTCCATTGCCCAAAACGTCGCATATTATACATGTCAAGGAAGTGTTATTGACGACGGTGGAGGGTTTTCTTCGTCGCAGAGGTTAAAGGTTGGAAGGTTTAAGGCGGAGCCATCGCGGAGGGCGAGGGTGGTCGGTGACGTCGCCACGCTTCGGGTATAAAGGCGGCTGCTGCTGCAAGCTGAGCGCGCAGTCTCTCGCGAGGAGCTTTGTCACAAGTAGTCGCAATGTCTGGACGCGGTAAAGGCGGTAAGGGGCTCGGCAAGGGAGGCGCAAAACGCCATCGCAAGGTGCTGCGCGACAACATCCAGGGCATCACCAAGCCCGCCATCCGCCGCCTCGCTCGCCGCGGCGGTGTGAAGCGCATCTCGGGCCTCATCTACGAGGAGACCCGCGGCGTCCTGAAGGTCTTCCTTGAGAACGTCATCCGCGACGCCGTCACCTACACGGAGCACGCCAAGCGCAAGACCGTCACCGCCATGGACGTGGTCTACGCCCTCAAGCGCCAGGGCCGCACTCTCTACGGCTTCGGAGGCTGAGCGCCCATCTCTCGCACACTAAGCCAACCCAAAGGCTCTTTTCAGAGCCACCCACCTCTTCGAAACTGCTTGCGCCAGTGTTGCCAAACACGCTCTGAATGGAGCACATGTCCTGGGTTGTTGTGAGCGTGCTGGACGTTCGCTTGTTGAGTTGGCGAATCTTCATCTGCTTCCACATGAATGAAATAAATCATGATATTCACGTCACATTTAACAAGGCGTAATTCTTGAACGCCTTAATACAGTACCCATTTCTGGTATTTTTGCGTGAATTATTTCCAGCTGCAGCCGAATTCCGATATTACGTAGAGCATTTGGCGCCACAATCTTACAGCACACTCGTCCTAATGACGGAGCGTGCCGGAATGCTAATCTCCACCTGTACAGCACAACAGCGAAGTTATTTTTCTCCACCGAGCGCTTGTATTTTTCCAAATTGCGTTCATAAAACGCCCGTGCGCCGTATTAGACGAGTGGTGAAACAATCCCTCGTAAGAAACAAAAAAACCCACGCTCAAAACACAATATACTGTATTGGGTTTTCTAGTCATCCTTTTTAAAACAAAGGCAATGCCATGGCTGCAATTCACTAATACACATGTTTGGACATTACATTGTGTTATATTCACCAGTCCTTTTTGCAGTAAAATCGATATTAAAGTGAACATCGCGTCCGCGTTTCTCATTGGAGGCTGATGGAGAGGGACGGTACTAAAAGAGCCACTCAGCAGCGCCGCGCACTACGATCCTCTGATTTGCATCTCGCCTCCTATAAAAGGAGCTCAACGCGCGAGCGACATCCACATTCGCTTCCCGTCTGTTCTGACCTGAAGCTGCTGCCTACGACGCGTCGACATGCCCGATCCTCCCGCATCAAAGAGCGCTGGGCCGGCCAAGGTTCCTGCTCCCAAGAAGGGCTCCAAGAAGGCTGTGACCAAGGCTACGCGCAAGGATGGCAAGAAGCGACGCCACCGCAGGAAGGAGAGCTACGCCATTTACATCTACAAGGTGATGAAGCAGGTGCACCCCGATACCGGCATCTCGTCCAAGGCAATGAGCATCATGAACTCGTTCGTCAACGACATCTTCGAGCGCATCGCTTCCGAGGCGTCCCGCCTGGCGCACTACAACAAGCGCTCCACCATCACTTCTCGGGAGATCCAGACCGCAGTGCGACTGCTGCTCCCCGGCGAGCTGGCCAAGCACGCCGTGTCGGAGGGCACCAAGGCCGTCACCAAGTACACAAGCTCCAAGTGAAGCCTCGACTCCACCATTAATTACAAAGGCTCTTTTCAGAGCCACCCACCTCTCCGAACCTGCTTGTACCAGTCCTAGCAGGAGTACTAAACGAAACTTCCAACAAAGCCCCGGTTCACGCGGGGACATTGTTCGCTCATTGAGTGGAATGGAGAGATGGAACGCATTTTAACCTGTTTCCACGTGAATAAAAGCGATAACAATATTCATGGCACATCATATTCACCAGCAGGCATTTCTTGGACTTGTTTGTCCATTGATTTCATCTGCAGCCCATTCAGATATTACATTGGATATTTGGTGCCAAAACCTTGCAATGCAATATATTTAATTCGTGGTTGTATTTTCGGGCAGGAACTAACATTTTGCACGTGTGCATCTATGTAAAAGTAAGCGCCTAGCATGGATGACTCGTGCAGTATAATTGATGATCATCATCTCAATGCCAAGAGAATAGATATCTATCCCTGTGATCACCTCTTTCCGACAATTTTTACGTATTAACTTTGGAGCTTTCGTGACTGCAGGAATTATTCTTTGGTTCTTTCGGTAAAGTCACGTATATAAAGAAACAAATTGGTGATATCTGTCTGCTTATATGTCTGTCTATAATTTTTTTCTGGTTCGATTTTATGTCGCTATTTCATTATACCTGATGATGATTGCTTGTGTTGCAATCGAAACGTCGTATGCGTATATATTATTATTTTTCTTTATACGTGACTTTACCGAAAGAAACAAAGAATAATTTTTACGTATTACTGTTTCCAATGAAGTGCAGTTTCTTCACACTTTATTTAGATCACGCGGAGCACTGTAAAGTTGTTTTCGGAAAGGTGTTTGCTTGAGAAAATAACATCCGTTAAGACATGGACGGCGCTCAAAGGAACTACTGCATCGTGATGCGGCATTCTGCAATGCTCCAAAGTGAGAACATTTCGTTGATGAAGAAGAGTTGACGACTCGAGATCATTGCACGCTGCCAACCAATCAGCACGCGCCCCTTCTTCGCACGTCACGACTCCGCTGACCAGTGAGCGCGCGCTCTGGGCTACATAAGCCGCCTTCTCCTCCCCGCCTGTGAGAATCTTTGCCCTCACCAAGCCATGGCTCGCACCAAGCAGACGGCTCGCAAGTCCACGGGCGGCAAGGCCCCCCGCAAGCAACTCGCCACCAAGGCGGCCCGAAAGAGCGCTCCGGCCACGGGCGGCGTCAAGAAGCCTCACCGCTACAGGCCCGGCACCGTCGCTCTGCGCGAGATCCGCCGCTACCAGAAGTCCACCGAGCTGCTCATCCGCAAACTGCCCTTCCAGCGCCTCGTCAGGGAGATCGCGCAGGACTTCAAGACCGACCTGCGCTTCCAGAGCTCCGCTGTCATGGCTCTGCAGGAGGCCAGCGAAGCGTACCTTGTCGCGCTCTTCGAGGACACCAACCTGTGCGCCATCCACGCCAAGCGCGTCACCATCATGCCCAAGGACATTCAGCTCGCCCGCCGCATTCGTGGCGAGCGCGCTTGAACGCCCAGCTCGGCCCTCAAAGCACAACACAAAGGCTCTTTTCAGAGCCACCACTTACTCGTGAGAAAGCTTCCATGTGTGTCCTTCAAAGTTCGGGTGCCGGAAACCTTCGTTTGCTGGTCACGGCTCTCACGAGTCGTCAGGCGTAAGCGACAATCAAGTTCATTTCTATACCCCGCCGCTCATTCTTCAACATCACACGTTGGTGTTGTTTATAAGCGTTGTGAAACCATGTTTACATAATGTACAACAAAAGGGTTATTTTGGTGAAATGTATTTTACCTCGGAGTCGCGTGGTGGGTGTGGAGGCCTAGCACCGTGCAGAGCCTCCCGCCTCGCCTGATTTTGCCACCCGGCTGACGCTGGGTACGGGTGCCGTTCCCCCCCCCCCCCCCCCGCGCTTCAATAATACTGTGTAATCGCTATAATTTAATAATCTACCGACCCTATAATAGTAATAGCACACATTGTGGTGGGGGGGGGGAGTAAAGAGGACGTGAAACTTAGATGAATTTACCTCAGAGTCGCGTGTTAATGCGTGCGCCTATTTTTAACGGGAATTAAAGATGGCGTCCACCCCGCAACTGCTAGCCCGTCGCTAGCCGTTGCCAGGGGCAACCGGCGTCCAATGAAAGCGGCTAGGTCGCTAGGGTGGCAGGGGCAACCGGCGTCCAATGAAAGTGCGTATGGTCCGACATCCACACACAGACAGACAGACATTCACGATTTTATATATATAGATTAAACCCAAAGATATTGGTTTATGCTGTTTCAAGCCCGAGCTGATAAGAAGTTCACATTTTGCAAACTGAGACTGAATTATTCACGCACATATATTTTTAGGCATTGCCCGAACAGGCGGTTAAAAAAAATATCTATACACCGTATAGGCACGTGGGCGATCAATCACGAGCTCAAGGCTATCACAATGATTTCTTATAACCAATGCGGTCCCTCAAAATGATGATTATAATCAATAATACATTGATATTTGCGGAATCCGCTTATAAGTTTGACTTGCCAGCACGCGCCCATAAATTAACTCTATCATGCTTAAAACTTGAACCTATTAAGTACGTGTATCGCATTGTTTAATTCATAAGATGCGTGTCCGCATTCAAATATATATGGATACAAATAATGAAAGTCAACATCGAATCCTCGCGTCCCGGCTTGTCATTGGTGGCTCAAGGAGAGGGCGGGACTCGACCGAGAGGAGCCAATCAGCAGCGGCGCGCTCTACGATCCTCGTCTCCGCTATAAAAGCCGCTCCCGTGGTGCGTGGTAACGTCACAAATCGTTCGTACTTTGTCTTAACAATGTCTGGACGCGGCAAGACCGGTGGCAAATCTCGCGCCAAGGCAAAGTCCCGCTCTTCCCGCGCCGGCCTGCAGTTCCCCGTGGGTCGCGTTCACAGGCTGCTCCGCAAGGGCAATTACGCCCAGCGGGTCGGCGCTGGAGCACCCGTCTACCTGGCCGCCGTGCTCGAGTACCTTTCTGCCGAGATCCTCGAGCTGGCTGGCAATGCCGCCCGCGACAACAAGAAGACGAGGATCATCCCCCGACACCTGCAGCTCGCCGTGCGAAACGACGAGGAGCTCAACAAGCTCATGGGCGGCGTGACTATCGCCCAGGGCGGTGTGCTGCCCAACATCCAGGCCGTGCTGCTGCCCAAGAAGACCTCTCAGGCAAAGAAGTGAACGCGCCGCCGCCTCTACCACCACAACAACGGCTCTTTTCAGAGCCACCCACTTGCTTGCAAAGAGCTCGGTCAGTCGTACACAGGGGTTTTGTTATTAATAAGGACACCGTCGTCGAGTTGCCCTCGTCCCAAATTGCGCGCAATTAAACGAATTCTCTGCTCATTCCAGATACCCTTTATGTCTAATTTAGGAACGGTATTTGAGCAGCATTCCAACATTGCATCAATCATGGAACATGGTTTAGAATAAATTGAGGTGCCTATTGGAAGAAAGTATCGTGTTTTTTTAAAGAATAAAACTCGCTCTTTTTGAGCGGTCAGATTACATATGAAGAGGAGTCGAAGAATGGTTCAAGCACTTCAAGGGATCTGCGAGCCACCCTCACGCACCACGCACCACGCAAACACGACATCTCCGCTCTCACGACAACACGCACCAATCAATCTTAATTTTTTTTCACACACGCGCGGGAAATAAGAGCTGGACGGGGGGGTCAGGGGTTAAAGGGCAGTGACGTCACCCGGACCAGGCGTGCTGGACGCGAATGTGTATTGGGAGCGGAGATTGAGGAGTTAAAAGGGGCTGTGGGACGTGTGCCCGGGGTTGGTCTTGGAACGAATATTGCTGTGCGTTGGTGAAAACAGGTCCCTGTGGGGTGGGCTGGTAGGACCGAACAATTGAATGGCTATAATAAAATGAAATGGCAAAAAATGGGCGCCAATGAGTGGATGGAAACGTAGACGTAGTGGAACATAAGAAACAATAAAGTAGTAGTAACCGTTCTGCAAAAAAATAATAGTATTGCACAAGTATGTACCTACGTGAGTGCAGCTTGGAGCAGACACAGTGAGTAGTAACAATCTGCACGAGATGCAGCGCCGTGGGCCACGCCCCTATCACTGTTAGCCCCGCCTCCTCGCCCCCGGTACTGTATTCTCGACTGTAGACTCCGCCCCTTTTCGCCAACGGCCCCTCCCTCCATCGCGCTAAGCTCCGCCTCCCACCGCTTGACCCCGCCCCGCTCCCCCGTGGCCCCGCTCCGCCCCCGTGGCCCCGCCCTCCACCCGCGTAACCCCGCCCCGCCACCCGTGGCCCCGCCCCATCTCGGTGTCCCCGCCCAGCCCCGCGTAGCCCCGCCCCCTGCCGCTGTAGCCCCGCCCGCTGCCGCGTAGCCCCGCCCCCTGCCGCTGTAGCCCCGCCCCCTGCCGCTGTAGCCCGGCCCCCTGCCGCGTAGCCCCGCCCCCTGCCGCTGTAGCCCCGCCCCCTGCCGCTGTAGCCCCGCCCCTTGCCGCTGTAGCCCCGCCCAATACACCCCGAGCGGGGGAGAGATTCCCAGGCCTGGCTCGGCTGGAGAGCCGCCAACGAGAGGGTGGAGGTAGGGAGTTGTTTTTAATGAAAAAGCTTTAAATGTAAATGTTTCTATTAAAAAACATCAGGGAATGTAACATTGTTAAATATTTACTGCCTTTCACACACACAGGGGAACTATACGAAGGGAGAGCTTGAGGCCTAGGTCTAGGCTTTAGGCCTAGCTGTAGGCCTTAGGCTGCCGTGGGTTAATTGTTAATATAAATGTTTTAATTATTTATGTAAAAGCTTTAAATGTAAATGTTTCTATTAAAAAAACATCAGGGAATGTAACCTTGTTAACCATTTACTCCCTTTCACACACGCGGGGGAACTATACGAAGGGAGAGCTTGAGGCCTAGGTCTAGGCTTTAGGCCTAGCTGTAGGCCTTAGGCCGCCGTGGGTTAATTGTTAATATAAATGTTTTAATTATTTATGTTGAAGCTTTAAATGTCAATGTTGCTATTTAAAAACATCAGGGAATGTAACATTGTAATTAAAAGCTATGAGGGAATTATAAGGGAATGCTACACTTGGTTAGCCAGGATAGCGTCACTGAGTCTAAATGTTTTTGTAGGGTCATGCCAAGTGTTTGCAGTAGGGGGCGATGTTGACACACGGACGGACGGACGGACAAACGGACGCACGATATAATCTATTGGAGTCTGGTCCACTTCGTTCCTACCAGAAGTGCATAAACCAATCTACTACGCCTCTTCACATGCGCGTGGAACGAATGATTATTGCATTCGTTCTAAATTTGTAGCTTTCGTGACTGCAATGATTCATACTCTTAGGTTTTTTCGGTAAAGTCACGTAGGTAAAACAATAATAAATAACTAAAACAATATAAATAATAAAATAACAAATCAGGGGGGAAGAGGGGGGCTTATCTGAATGTGGTTGCCGGGAAGTGGCGGGGGTGTCGGGGCTAAAAGAGAACAAATGAGCACATCAGCTCAGGGTTGTGGCCGGTGTTAGCTGATAGTAAGCATAAAAGTACTGGTAAACGCTGGGGATGTTAACACTCGGTAAAGTATAATATTACCTGTCAAATAAGATGGTACAAATATGTGTAGTTAAATATTTTTTACATGGTTAATAACATCTTTCCAATGATTACTCATTCGTGTTACTTAGTGCAGTAAATACGTGTTACTTATTGCAGTAAAAACAACTCATCGCATGAACCATCCTGCGCTCCTAGAATATCAACTCTGTCAATGCATTAAACGTAAGATTATATATTTTCTTTAAACATTCGACTGCGGAGTCACTTGAGTTGAATTTGAGTGGTGATGATTGTGCACCGTGCCTCGATCTTGTTCAAAGCGCGCGACCCTTCTGCAGTGCGTGACCTACTCACCTCTTGCCACGTAAAATGTTAAACTTTCTATTTAATGTCGGTTAATTTTGAGTAATTTTCTTCAGTTTGTTGTCCATCTGAAAATCCATATATTTATTCATTTCAAAGTTCGATTAAAACGTCCAGTTAAAAGTTCGGTGACAAGGGACGATTGACATGGCGCGCAGTCCTCACCATAGCGCGAGAGGAGGAATCGCGAGCGCGCGAGGCAAAACTTAAATAGAAAATATTTCGTTGGAATTAAATGAGTAGTCTGTTGAAGCATCTTGTCTTGCAAAAAATTCGAGTGCGTTTTAAATAGTGTTCATCAGTAACACTTTTGAAAACCGACAATCATCATATCTTGCCCTGACCGAACAATGTCTCCCAAATGTTGGTTGTTCACTTGTTTAGAATTATAATTTATATCGTGAGCATTGTCGTATATTGCATAAGTAACGTACATTAAAGAAGTGATCTTCGTGATGATGTATCAACTAGATGCATGTAAGTATGAACGTTACGGGAGTAATCGAGCCCAAAGGCAGGCGTGATAAACACAGTGAGTATGGTGGCAACTCCCTCACTAGAGCTGAGTGCTGGATGATCTCAGCGACGTCCGCATTCAGTACGCCGCTTCTATAATAACCTCGGGCCTGGAGGACGCTCGGTTCGAATTCGTGAGAGCGCTGATTTCGGTTTCCAAGAGGCGAGGCGATAAAAGCGACGTCTTGAGATGGCGGAAACTGCTCCTGCTCAACCACCAGCTGCGGCTACTTCAGCGCCTAAAAGCCCCAAGAAGAAGCGCGCCGCTCCAAAGGCCAAGAAGGTCGGCCCCAGCGTGTCCGAGCTCATCCTCAAGGCTCTGGCCAGCAGCAAGGAGAGGAACGGCGTGTCTCTTCCTGCGCTCAAAAAGTCGCTTGCTGCCGGAGGATACGACGTGGAGAAGAACAATGCCCGCGTGAAGTTGGCCATCAAGAAGCTCGTGGCCAAAGACGCCGTGGCGCAAGTGAAGGGCAGCGGCGCGTCTGGCTCTTTCAAACTCAACAAGGAAAAGGCTGCCGCAAAGGCGAAGCCCAAGTCGTCAACGGCAAAGCCCGCAGCTAAAAAGCCCGCGGCAGCCAAGAAGGTGAAGAAGCCCGCGGCAGCCAAGAAGACCGCGCCCAAGAAGTCTCCCAAGAAAGCAAAGAAGCCCGCGGCTGCCAAGGCGGCCAAGAGCCCCAAAAAGGTGAAGTCGGCTGTTAAGCCCAAGAAGGCGGCGAAGAGCCCAGCCAAGCCCAAGGCTGCGAAGCCCAAGGTCGCTAAGCCCAAGACCGTCAAGGCCAAGGCCGCCAAACCCAAGGTGGCCAAGCCCAAGAAGGCCGCGGCCAAGCCCAAGAAGACTGCGCCAAAGAAGTGAATCCGATGGGACGACCGACGCTCGATTCACTCCACCTCAACGGCTCTTTTCAGAGCCACCCACTTCGTTAAAAAAGTGAACCAGATGCTGCTGCGCTTCAATTAGTTCAAATTAACTGTGTAACATTTCACCCACTCGATGTGTTTTAAGCATTGATGTGATGGGAGTGATCGAGCCCGAAAGCAGGGATCACAAACACAGGCGAGGCGGGTGGCAGCTCCCTCACTCGAACTGAGTGCAGAGTAATCTCAGCGACGTCAGCATTCTCGCTGGCGATTCTAATCTAAATCCAGATTCAAAATCGATGCATTCTTGACGAACCTCCAATTTTGATTATGTGTTGCACCTCTTCATTCCGTCATCATGTTACTGGTGCCAAATATGGAATTTAGTCTAAAAATGTATTGATTCCAGACAGCTTTACTCAATTTGCCTTCATTCGCTCGTTCCGCCTTTTCACTTTGTTTTTGTTTTGTAAACATTGCGGTGCACCATCTAAACTTCTCTATTAAATTAATTACTATACGTAAATATCGCATTGTTTGCAATGTCTTTCTTACTTTGGGACAACTAGTTGGTGACGTTCACTCAACTATTGTGTTGGAAGCCGTTTAGCTTCACACGATTATAAAGTTAGTTCATCTTGTTCACTTGCAAACAAGACCTTACACCGATTATTCACTGCACGTGCAATCTTGCAACAGATGGCGTTCCTCTGGCGTTCGCTGCGGGTGTGCCAATATCATTCCAGAGTGCTTCGAAGAAGGGCCATTGCCCAAAACGTCGCATATTATACATGTCAAGGAAGTGTTATTGACGACGGTGGAGGGTTTTCTTCGTCGCAGAGGTTAAAGGTGGAAGGTTTAAGGCGGAGCCATCGCGGAGGGCAGGGGTGGTCGGTGACGTCGCCACGCTTCGGGTATAAAGGCGGCTGCTGCTGCAAGCTGAGCGCGCAGTCTCTCGCGAGGAGCTTTGTCACAAGTAGTCGCAATGTCTGGACGCGGTAAAGGCGGTAAGGGGCTCGGCAAGGGAGGCGCAAAACGCCATCGCAAGGTGCTGCGCGACAACATCCAGGGCATCACCAAGCCCGCCATCCGCCGCCTCGCTCGCCGCGGCGGTGTGAAGCGCATCTCGGGCCTCATCTACGAGGAGACCCGCGGCGTCCTGAAGGTCTTCCTTGAGAACGTCATCCGCGACGCCGTCACCTACACGGAGCACGCCAAGCGCAAGACCGTCACCGCCATGGACGTGGTCTACGCCCTCAAGCGCCAGGGCCGCACTCTCTACGGCTTCGGAGGCTGAGCGCCCATCTCTCGCACACTAAGCCAACCCAAAGGCTCTTTTCAGAGCCACCCACCTCTTCGAAACTGCTTGCGCCAGTGTTGCCAAACACGCTCTGAATGGAGCACATGTCCTGGGTTGTTGTGAGCGTGCTGGACGTTCGCTTGTTGAGTTGGCGAATCTTCATCTGCTTCCACATGAATGAATGAAAGAAATCATGATATTCACGTCACATTTAACAAGGCGTAATTCTTGAACGCCTTAATACAGTACCCATTTCTGGTATTTTGCGTGAATTATTTCCAGCTGCAGCCGATTCCGATATTACGTAGAGCATTTGGCGCCACAATCTTACAGCACACTCGTCCTAATTGACCTCGCGTGCCGGAATGCTAATCTCCACCTGTACAGCACAACAGCGAAGTTATTTTTCTCCACCGAGCGCTTGTATTTTTCCAAATTGCGTTCATAAAACGCCCGTGCGCCGTATTAGACGAGTGGTGAAACAATCCCTCGTAAGAAACAAAAAAACCCACGCTCAAAACACAATATACTGTATTGGGTTTTCTAGTCATCCTTTTTAAAACAAAGGCAATGCCATGGCTGCAATTCACTAATACACATGTTTGGACATTACATTGTGTTATATTCACAAGTCCTTTTTGCAGTAAAATCGATATTAAAGTGAACATCGCGTCCGCGTTTCTCATTGGAGGCTGATGGAGAGGGACGGTACTAAAAGAGCCACTCAGCAGCGCCGCGCACTACGATCCTCTGATTTGCATCTCGCCTCCTATAAAAGGAGCTCAACGCGCGAGCGACATCCACATTCGCTTCCCGTCTGTTCTGACCTGAAGCTGCTGCCTACGACGCGTCGACATGCCCGATCCTCCCGCATCAAAGAGCGCTGGGCCGGCCAAGGTTCCTGCTCCCAAGAAGGGCTCCAAGAAGGCTGTGACCAAGGCTACGCGCAAGGATGGCAAGAAGCGACGCCACCGCAGGAAGGAGAGCTACGCCATTTACATCTACAAGGTGATGAAGCAGGTGCACCCCGATACCGGCATCTCGTCCAAGGCAATGAGCATCATGAACTCGTTCGTCAACGACATCTTCGAGCGCATCGCTTCCGAGGCGTCCCGCCTGGCGCACTACAACAAGCGCTCCACCATCACTTCTCGGGAGATCCAGACCGCAGTGCGACTGCTGCTCCCCGGCGAGCTGGCCAAGCACGCCGTGTCGGAGGGCACCAAGGCCGTCACCAAGTACACAAGCTCCAAGTGAAGCCTCGACTCCACCATTAATTACAAAGGCTCTTTTCAGAGCCACCCACCTCTCCGAACCTGCTTGTACCAGTCCTAGCAGGAGTACTAAACGAAACTTCCAACAAAGCCCCGGTTCACGCGGGGACATTGTTCGCTCATTGAGTGGAATGGAGAGATGGAACGCATTTTAACCTGTTTCCACGGGAATAAAAGCGATAACAATATTCATGGCACATCATGTTCACCAGCAGGCATTTCTTGGACTTGTTTGTCCATTGATTTCATCTGCAGCCCATTCAGATATTACATTGGATATTTGGTGCCAAAACCTTGCAATGCAATATATTTAATTCGTGGTTGTATTTTCGGGCAGGAACTAACATTTTGCACGTGTACATCTATGTAAAAGTAAGCGCCTAGCATGGATGACTCGTGCAGTATAATTGATGATCATCATCTCAATGCCAAGAGAATAGATATCTATCCCTGTGATCACCTCTTTCCGACAATTTTACGTATTAACTTTGGAGCTTTCGTGACTGCAGGAATTATTCTTTGGTTCTTTCGGTAAAGTCACGTATATAAAGAAAACAAATTGGTGATATCTGTCTGCTTATATGTCTGTCTATAATTTTTTCTGGTTCGATTTTATGTCGCTATTTCATTATACCTGATGATGATTGCTTGTGTTGCAATCGAAACGTCGTATGCTATTATTTAATTTATTATTTGTTCTTTTATACGTGACTTTACCGAAAGAACCAAATAATCATTTACTGCAGTCACGAAAGTTCTAAAATTAAGATTGATGAAGAAGAGTTGACGACTCGAGATCATTGCACGCTGCCAACCAATCAGCACGCGCCCCTTCTTCGCACGTCACGACTCCGCTGACCAGTGAGCGCGCGCTCTGGGCTACATAAGCCGCCTTCTCCTCCCCGCCTGTGAGAATCTTTGCCCTCACCAAGCCATGGCTCGCACCAAGCAGACGGCTCGCAAGTCCACGGGCGGCAAGGCCCCCCGCAAGCAACTCGCCACCAAGGCGGCCCGAAAGAGCGCTCCGGCCACGGGCGGCGTCAAGAAGCCTCACCGCTACAGGCCCGGCACCGTCGCTCTGCGCGAGATCCGCCGCTACCAGAAGTCCACCGAGCTGCTCATCCGCAAACTGCCCTTCCAGCGCCTCGTCAGGGAGATCGCGCAGGACTTCAAGACCGACCTGCGCTTCCAGAGCTCCGCTGTCATGGCTCTGCAGGAGGCCAGCGAAGCGTACCTTGTCGCGCTCTTCGAGGACACCAACCTGTGCGCCATCCACGCCAAGCGCGTCACCATCATGCCCAAGGACATTCAGCTCGCCCGCCGCATTCGTGGCGAGCGCGCTTGAACGCCCAGCTCGGCCCTCAAAGCACAACACAAAGGCTCTTTTCAGAGCCACCACTTACTCGTGAGAAAGCTTCCATGTGTGTCCTTCAAAGTTCGGGTGCCGGAAACCTTCGTTTGCTGGTCACGGCTCTCACGAGTCGTCAGGCGTAAGCGACAATGAAGTTCATTTCTATACCCCGCCGCTCATTCTGCAACATCACACGTTGGTGTTGTGTATAAGCGTTGTGAAACCATGTTTACATAATGTACAACAAAAGAGTTATTTTGGTGAAATGTATTTTACCTCAGAGTCGCGTGGTGGGTGTGGAGGCCTAGCACCGTGCAGAGCCTCCCGCCTCGCCTGATTTTGCCACCCGGCTGACGCTGGGTACGGGTGCCGTTTCCCCCCCCCCCCCACCGCGCTACAATAATACTGTGTAATCGCTATAATTTAATAATCTACCGACCCTATAATAGTAATAGCACACATTGTGGTGGGGGGGGGAGTAAAGAAGGACGTGAAACTTAGATGAATTTACCTCAGAGTCGCGTGTTAATGCGTGCGCCTATTTTTAACGGGAATTAAAGATGGCGTCCACCCCGCAACTGCTAGCCCGTCGCTAGCCGTTGCCAGGGGCAACCGGCGTCCAATGAAAGCGGCGAAGTCGTCGCTAGGCGTTGGCAGGGGCAACCGGCGTCCAATGAAAGTGCGTATGGTCCGACATCCACACACAGACAGACAGACATTCACGATTTTATATATATAGATTAAACCCAAAGATATTGGTTTATGCTGTTTCAAGCCCGAGCTGATAAGAAGTTCACATTTTGCAAACTGAGACTGAATTATTCACGCACATATATTTTTAGGCATTGCCCGAACAGGCGGTTAAAAAAAGATATCTATACACCGTATAGGCACGTGGGCGATCAATCACGAGCTCAAGGCTATCACAATGATTTCTTATAACCAATGCGGTCCCTCAAAATGATGATTATAATCAATAATACATTGATATTTGCGGAATCCGCTTATAAGTTTGACTTGCCAGCACGCGCCCATAAATTAACTCTATCATGCTTAAAACTTGAACCTTTTAAGTACGTGTATCGCATTGTTTAATTCATAAGATGCGTGTCCGCATTAAAATATATATGGATACAAATAATGAAAGTCAACATCGAATCCTCGCGTCCCGGCTTGTCATTGGTGGCTCAAGGAGAGGGCGGGACTCGAGCGAGAGGAGCCAATCAGCAGCGGCGCGCTCTACGATCCTCGTCTCCGCTATAGAAGCCGCTCCCGTGGTGCGTGTTAACGTCACAAATTGTTCGTACTTTGTCTCCAGTGCTTTTTGCATCCTAGGTCCCTTAACGATGTCTGGACGCGGCAAGACCGGTGGCAAATCTCGCGCCAAGGCAAAGTCCCGCTCTTCCCGCGCCGGCCTGCAGTTCCCCGTGGGTCGCGTTCACAGGCTGCTCCGCAAGGGCAATTACGCCCAGCGGGTCGGCGCTGGAGCACCCGTCTACCTGGCCGCCGTGCTCGAGTACCTTTCTGCCGAGATCCTCGAGCTGGCTGGCAATGCCGCCCGCGACAACAAGAAGACGAGGATCATCCCCCGACACCTGCAGCTCGCCGTGCGAAACGACGAGGAGCTCAACAAGCTCATGGGCGGCGTGACTATCGCCCAGGGCGGTGTGCTGCCCAACATCCAGGCCGTGCTGCTGCCCAAGAAGACCTCTCAGGCAAAGAAGTGAACGCGCCGCCGCCTCTACCACCACAACAACGGCTCTTTTCAGAGCCACCCACTTGCTTGCAAAGAGCTCGGACAGTCGTGCACAGGGGTTTTGTTATTAATAAGGACACCGTCGTCGAGTTGCCCTCGTCCCAAATTGCTCGCAATTAAACGAATGCTCTGCTCATTCCAGATACCCTTTATGTCTAATTTAGGAACGGTATTTGAGCAGCATTCCAACATTGCATCAATCATGGAACATGGTTTAGAATAAATTGAGGTGCCTATTGGAAGAAAGTATCGTGTTTTTTTAAAGAATAAAACTCGCTCTTTTTGAGCGGTCAGATTACATATGAAGAGGAGTCGGAGAATGGTTCAAGCACTTCAAGGGATCTGCGAGCCACCCTCACGCACCACGCACCACGCAAACACGACATCTCCGCTCTCACGACAACACGCACCAATCAATCTTAATTTTTTTTCACACACGCGCGGGAAATAAGAGCTGGACGGGGGGGTCAGGGGTTAAAGGGCAGTGACGTCACCCGGACCAGGCGTGCTGGACGCGAATGTGTATTGGGAGCGGAGATTGAGGAGTTAAAAGGGGCTGTGGGACGTGTGCCCGGGGTTGGTCTTGGAACGAATATTGCTGTGCGTTGCGGAGATTGAGGAGTTAAAAGGGGCTGTGGGACGTGTGCCCGGGGTTGGTCTTGGAACGAATATTGTTGTGCGTTGGTGAAAACAGGTCCCTGTGGGGTGGGCTGGTAGGACCGAACAATTGAATGGCTATAATAAAATGAAATGGCAAAAAATGGGCGCCAATGAGTGGATGGAAACGTAGACGTAGTGGAACATAAGAAACAATAAAGTAGTAGTAACCGTTCTGCAAAAAAATAATAGTATTGCACAAGTATGTACCTACGTGAGTGCAGCTTGGAGCAGACACAGTGAGTAGTAACAATCTGCACGAGATGCAGCGCCGTGGGCCACGCCCCTATCACTGTTAGCCCCGCCTCCTCGCCCCCGGTACTGTATTCTCGACTGTAGACTCCGCCCCTTTTCGCCAACGGCCCCTCCCTCCATCGCGCTAAGCTCCGCCTCCCACCGCTTGACCCCGCCCCGCTCCCCCGTGGCTCCGCTCCGCCCCCGTGGCCCCGCCCTCCACCCGCGTAACCCCGCCCCGCCACCCGTGGCCCCGCCCCATCTCGGTGTCCCCGCCCAGCCCCGCGTAGCCCCGCCCCCTGCCGCTGTAGCCCCGCCCGCTGCCGCGTAGCCCCGCCCCCTGCCGCTGTAGCCCGGCCCCCTGCCGCGTAGCCCCGCCCCCTGCCGCGTAGCCCCGCCCCCTGCCGCGTAGCCCCGCCCCCTGCCGCTGTAGCCCCGCCCCCTGCCGCGTAGCCCTGCCCCCTGCCGCTGTAGCCCCGCCCCCTGCCGCGTAGCCCCGCCCCCTGCCGCTGTAGCCCCGCCCCCTGCCGCTGTAGCCCCGCCCCCTGTCGCGTAGCCCCGCCCCCTGCCGCGTAGCCCCGCCCCCTGCCGCGTAGCCCCGCCCCCTGCCGCGTAGCCCCGCCCCCTGCCGCTGTAGCCCCGCCCAATACACCCCGAGCGGGGGAGAGATTCCCAGGCCTGGCTCGGCTGGAGAGCCGCCGACGAGGGGGGGGAGGTAGGGAGTTGTTTTTAATGAAAAAGCTTTAAATGTAAATGTTTCTATTAAAAAACATCAGGGAATGTAACCTTGTTAACCATTTACTCCCTTTCACACACGCGGGGGAACTATACGAAGGGAGAGCTTGAGGCCTAGGTCTAGGCTTTAGGCCTAGCTGTAGGCCTTAGGCCGCCGTGGGTTAAATGTTTTTGTAGGGTCATGCCAAGTGTTTGCAGTAGGGGGCGATGTTGACACACGGACGGACGGACGGACAAACGGACGCACGATATAATCTATTGGAGTCTGGTCCACTTCGTTCCTACCAGAAGTGCATAAACCAATCTACTACGCCTCCTCACATGCGCGTGGAACGAATGATTATTGCATTCGTTCTAAATTTGTAGCTTTCGTGACTGCAATGATTCATACTCTTAGGTTTTTTCGGTAAAGTCACGTAGGTAAAACAATAATAATAAATAACTAAAACAATATAAATAATAAAATAACAAATCAGGGGGGAAGAGGGGGGCTTATCTGAATGTGGTTGCCGGGAAGTGGCGGGGGTGTCGGGGCTAAAAGAGAACAAATGAGCACATCAGCTCAGGGTTGTGGCCGGTGTTAGCTGATAGTAAGCATAAAAGTACTGGTAAACGCTGGGGATGTTAACACTCGGTAAAGTATAATATTACCTGTCAAATAAGATGGTACAAATATGTGTAGTTAAATATTTTTTACATGGTTAATAACATCTTTCCAATGATTACTCATTCGTGTTACTTAGTGCAGTAAATACGTGTTACTTATTGCAGTAAAAACAACTCATCGCATGAACCATCCTGCGCTCCTAGAATATCAACTCTGTCAATGCATTAAACGTAAGATATATATTTTCTTTAAACATTCGACTGCGGAGTCACTTGAGTTGAATTTGAGTGGTGATGATTGTGCACCGTGCCTCGATCTTGTTCAAGGCGCGCGACCCTTCTGCAGTGCGTGAGCCTACTCACCTCTTGCCACGTAAAATGTTAAACTTTCTATTAATGTCGGTTAATTTTGAGTAATTTTCTTCAGTTTGTTGTCCATCTGAAAATCCATATATTTATTCATTTCAAAGTTCGATTAAAACGTCCAGTTAAAAGTTCGGTGACAAGGGACGATTGACATGGCGCGCAGTCCTCACCATAGCGCGAGAGGAGGAATCGCGAGCGCGCGAGGCAAAACTTAAATAGAAAATATTTCGTTGGAATTAAATGAGTAGTATGTTTAAGCATCTTGTCTTGCAAAAAATTCGAGTGCGTTTTAAATAGTGTTCATCAGTAACACTTTTGAAAACCGACAATCATCATATCTTGCCCTGACCGAACAATGTCTCCCAAATGTTGGTTGTTCACTTGTTTAGAATTATAATTTATATCGTGAGCATTGTCGTATATTGCATAAGTAACGTACATTAAAGAAGTGATCTTCGTGATGATGTATCAACTAGATGCATGTAAGTATGAACGTTACGGGAGTAATCGAGCCCAAAGGCAGGCGTGATAAACACAGTGAGTATGGTGGCAACTCCCTCACTAGAGCTGAGTGCTGGATGATCTCAGCGACGTCCGCATTCAGTACGCCGCTTCTATAATAACCTCGGGCCTGGAGGACGCTCGGTTCGAATTCGTGAGAGCGCTGATTTCGGTTTCCAAGAGGCGAGGCGATAAAAGCGACGTCTTGAGATGGCGGAAACTGCTCCTGCTCAACCACCAGCTGCGGCTACTTCAGCGCCTAAAAGCCCCAAGAAGAAGCGCGCCGCTCCAAAGGCCAAGAAGGTCGGCCCCAGCGTGTCCGAGCTCATCCTCAAGGCTCTGGCCAGCAGCAAGGAGAGGAACGGCGTGTCTCTTCCTGCGCTCAAAAAGTCGCTTGCTGCCGGAGGATACGACGTGGAGAAGAACAATGCCCGCGTGAAGTTGGCCATCAAGAAGCTCGTGGCCAAAGACGCCGTGGCGCAAGTGAAGGGCAGCGGCGCGTCTGGCTCTTTCAAACTCAACAAGGAAAAGGCTGCCGCAAAGGCGAAGCCCAAGTCGTCAACGGCAAAGCCCGCAGCTAAAAAGCCCGCGGCAGCCAAGAAGGTGAAGAAGCCCGCGGCAGCCAAGAAGACCGCGCCCAAGAAGTCTCCCAAGAAAGCAAAGAAGCCCGCGGCTGCCAAGGCGGCCAAGAGCCCCAAAAAGGTGAAGTCGGCTGTTAAGCCCAAGAAGGCGGCGAAGAGCCCAGCCAAGCCCAAGGCTGCGAAGCCCAAGGTCGCTAAGCCCAAGACCGTCAAGGCCAAGGCCGCCAAACCCAAGGTGGCCAAGCCCAAGAAGGCCGCGGCCAAGCCCAAGAAGACTGCGCCAAAGAAGTGAATCCGATGGGACGACCGACGCTCGATTCACTCCACCTCAACGGCTCTTTTCAGAGCCACCCACTTCGTTAAAAAAGTGTACCAGATGCTGCTGCGCTTCAATTAGTTCAAATTAACTGTGTAACATTTCACCCACTCGATGTGTTTTAAGCATTGATGTGATGGGAGTGATCGAGCCCGAAAGCAGGGATCACAAACACAGGCGAGGCGGGTGGCAGCTCCCTCACTCGAACTGAGTGCAGAGTAATCTCAGCGACGTCAGCATTCTCGCTGGCGATTCTAATTAAATCCAGATTCAAAATCGATGCATTCTTGACGAACCTCCAATTTTGATTATGTGTTGCACCTCTTCATTCCGTCATCATGCTACTGGTGCCAAATATGGAATTTAGTCTAAAAATGTATTGATTCCAGACAGCTTTACTCAATTTGCCTTCATTCGCTCGTTCTCGCATTTTCACTTTGTTTTTGTTTTGTAAACATTGCGGTGCACCATCTAAACTTAAAAGTAAGTTCATCTTGTTCACTTGCAAACAAGACCTTACATCGATTATTCACTCCACGTGCAATCTTGCAACAGATGGCGTTCCTCTGGCGTTCGCTGCGGGTGTGCCAATATCATTCCAGAGTGCTTCGAAGAAGGGCCATTGCCCAAAACGTCGCATATTATACATGTCAAGGAAGTGTTATTGACGACGGTGGAGGGTTTTCTTCGTCGCAGAGGTTAAAGGTGGAAGGTTTAAGGCGGAGCCATCGCGGAGGGCAGGGGTGGTCGGTGACGTCGCCACGCTTCGGGTATAAAGGCGGCTGCTGCTGCAAGCTGAGCGCGCAGTCCTCTCGCGAGGAGCTTTGTCACAAGTAGTCGCAATGTCTGGACGCGGTAAAGGCGGTAAGGGGCTCGGCAAGGGAGGCGCAAAACGCCATCGCAAGGTGCTGCGCGACAACATCCAGGGCATCACCAAGCCCGCCATCCGCCGCCTCGCTCGCCGCGGCGGTGTGAAGCGCATCTCGGGCCTCATCTACGAGGAGACCCGCGGCGTCCTGAAGGTCTTCCTTGAGAACGTCATCCGCGACGCCGTCACCTACACGGAGCACGCCAAGCGCAAGACCGTCACCGCCATGGACGTGGTCTACGCCCTCAAGCGCCAGGGCCGCACTCTCTACGGCTTCGGAGGCTGAGCGCCCATCTCTCGCACACTAAGCCAACCCAAAGGCTCTTTTCAGAGCCACCCACCTCTTCGAAACTGCTTGCGCCAGTGTTGCCAAACACGCTCTGAATGGAGCACATGTCCTGGGTTGTTGTGAGCGTGCTGGACGTTCGCTTGTTGAGTTGGCGAATCTTCATCTGCTTCCACATGAATGAATGAAAGAAATGATATTCACGTCACATTTAACAAGGCGTAATTCTTGAACGCCTTAATACAGTACCCATTTCTGGTATTTTTGCGTGAATTATTTCCAGCTGCAGCCGATTCCGATATTACGTAGAGCATTTGGCGCCACAATGTTACAGCACACTCGTCCTAATTGACGGAGCGTGCCGGAATGCTAATCTCCACCTGTACAGCACAACAGCGAAGTTATTTTTCTCCACCGAGCGCTTGTATTTTTCCAAATTGCGTTCATAAAACGCCCGTGCGCCGTATTAGACGAGTGGTGAAACAATCCCTCGTAAGAAACAAAAAAACCCACGCTCAAAACACAATATACTGTATTGGGATTTCTAGTCATCCTTTTAAAACAAAGGCAATGCCATGGCTGCAATTCACTAATACACATGTTTGGACATTACATTGTGTTATATTCACAAGTCCTTTTTGCAGTAAAATCGATATTAAAGTGAACATCGCGTCCGCCTTTCTCATTGGAGGCTGATGGAGAGGGACGGTACTAAAAGAGCCACTCAGCAGCGCCGCGCACTACGATCCTCTGATTTGCATCTCGCCTCCTATAAAAGGAGCTCAACGCGCGAGCGACATCCACATTCGCTTCCCGTCTGTTCTGACCTGAAGCTGCTGCCTACGACGCGTCGACATGCCCGATCCTCCCGCATCAAAGAGCGCTGGGCCGGCCAAGGTTCCTGCTCCCAAGAAGGGCTCCAAGAAGGCTGTGACCAAGGCTACGCGCAAGGATGGCAAGAAGCGACGCCACCGCAGGAAGGAGAGCTACGCCATTTACATCTACAAGGTGATGAAGCAGGTGCACCCCGATACCGGCATCTCGTCCAAGGCAATGAGCATCATGAACTCGTTCGTCAACGACATCTTCGAGCGCATCGCTTCCGAGGCGTCCCGCCTGGCGCACTACAACAAGCGCTCCACCATCACTTCTCGGGAGATCCAGACCGCAGTGCGACTGCTGCTCCCCGGCGAGCTGGCCAAGCACGCCGTGTCGGAGGGCACCAAGGCCGTCACCAAGTACACAAGCTCCAAGTGAAGCCTCGACTCCACCATTAATTACAAAGGCTCTTTTCAGAGCCACCCACCTCTCCGAACCTGCTTGTACCAGTCCTAGCAGGAGTACTAAACGAAACTTCCAACAAAGCCCCGGTTCACGCGGGGACATTGTTCGCTCATTGAGTGAAATGGAGAGATGGAACGCATTTTAACCTGTTTCCACGTGAATAAAAGCGATAACAATATTCATGGCACATCATATTCACCAGCAGGCATTTCTTGGACTTGTTTGTCCATTGATTTCATCTGCAGCCCATTCAGATATTACATTGGATATTTGGTGCCAAAACCTTGCAATGCAATATATTTAATTCGTGGTTGTATTTTCGGGCAGGAACTAACATTTTGCACGTGTACATCTATGTAAAAGTAAGCGCCTAGCATGGATGACTCGTGCAGTATAATTGATGATCATCATCTCAATGCCAAGAGAATAGATATCTATCCCTGTGATCACCTCTTTCCGACAATTTTACGTATTAACTTTGGAGCTTTCGTGACTGCAGGAATTATTCTTTGGTTCTTTCGGTAAAGTCACGTATATATAAAAACAAATTGGTGATATCTGTCTGCTTATATGTCTGTCTATAATTTTTTCTGGTTAGATTTTATGTCGCTATTTCATTATACCTGATGATGATTGCTTGTGTTGCAATCGAAACGTCGTATGCTATTATTTAATGTATTATTTTTTCTTTATACGTGACTTTACCGAAAGAACCAAAGAATAATTTTTACGTATTACTGTTTTCAATGAAGTGCAGTTTCTTCACACTTTATTTAGATCATGCAGAACACTGTAAAGTTGTTTTCGGAAAGGTGTTTGCTTGAGAAAATAACATCCGTTAAGGACATGGACGGCGCTCAAACGGTACTACTGCATCGTGATGCGGCATTCTGCAATGCTCCAAAGTGAGAACATTTCGTTGATGAAGAAGAGTTGACGACTCGAGATCATTGCACGCTGCCAACCAATCAGCACGCGCCCCTTCTTCGCACGTCACGACTCCGCTGACCAGTGAGCGCGCGCTCTGGGCTACATAAGCCGCCTTCTCCTCCCCGCCTGTGAGAATCTTTGCCCTCACCAAGCCATGGCTCGCACCAAGCAGACGGCTCGCAAGTCCACGGGCGGCAAGGCCCCCCGCAAGCAACTCGCCACCAAGGCGGCCCGAAAGAGCGCTCCGGCCACGGGCGGCGTCAAGAAGCCTCACCGCTACAGGCCCGGCACCGTCGCTCTGCGCGAGATCCGCCGCTACCAGAAGTCCACCGAGCTGCTCATCCGCAAACTGCCCTTCCAGCGCCTCGTCAGGGAGATCGCGCAGGACTTCAAGACCGACCTGCGCTTCCAGAGCTCCGCTGTCATGGCTCTGCAGGAGGCCAGCGAAGCGTACCTTGTCGCGCTCTTCGAGGACACCAACCTGTGCGCCATCCACGCCAAGCGCGTCACCATCATGCCCAAGGACATTCAGCTCGCCCGCCGCATTCGTGGCGAGCGCGCTTGAACGCCCAGCTCGGCCCTCAAAGCACAACACAAAGGCTCTTTTCAGAGCCACCACTTACTCGTGAGAAAGCTTCCATGTGTGTCCTTCAAAGTTCGGGTGCCGGAAACCTTCGTTTGCTGGTCACGGCTCTCACGAGTCGTCAGGCGTAAGCGACAATGAAGTTCATTTCTATACCCCGCCGCTCATTCTGCAACATCACACGTTGGTGTTGTGTATAAGCGTTGTGAAACCATGTTTACATAATGTACAACAAAAGAGTTATTTTGGTGAAATGTATTTTACCTCAGAGTCGCGTGGTGGGTGTGGAGGCCTAGCACCGTGCAGAGCCTCCCGCCTCGCCTGATTTTGCCACCCGGCTGACGCTGGGTACGGGTGCCGTTTCCCCCCCCCCCCCCCGCGCTACAATAATACTGTGTAATCGCTATAATTTAATAATCTACCGACCCTATAATAGTAATAGCACACATTGTGGTGGGGGGGGGGGGAGTAAAGAGGACGTGAAACTTAGATGAATTTACCTCAGAGTCGCGTGTTAATGCGTGCGCCTATTTTTAACGGGAATTAAAGATGGCGTCCACCCCGCAACTGCTAGCCCGTCGCTAGCCGTTGCCAGGGGCAACCGGCGTCCAATGAAAGCGGCGAAGTCGTCGCTAGGCGTTGGCAGGGGCAACCGGCGTCCAATGAAAGTGCGTATGGTCCGACATCCACACACAGACAGACAGACATTCACGATTTTATATATATAGATTTAACCCAAAGATATTGGTTTATGCTGTTTCAAGCCCGAGCTGATAAGAAGTTCACATTTTGCAAACTGAGACTGAATTATTCACGCACATATATTTTTGGGCATTGCCCGAACAGGCGGTTAAAGAAAAATATCTATACACCGTATAGGTACGTGGGCGATCAATCACGAGCTCAAGGCTATCACAATGATTTCTTATAACCAATGCGGTCCCTCAAAATGATGATTATAATCAATAATACATTGATATTTGCGGAATCCGCTTATAAGTTTGACTTGCCAGCACGCGCCCATAAATTAACTCTATCATGCTTAAAACTTGAACCTATTAAGTACGTGTATCGCATTGTTTAATTCATAAGATGCGTGTGCGCATTAAAACATATATGGATACAAATAATGAAAGTCAACATCGAATCCTCGCGTCCCGGCTTGTCATTGGTGGCTCAAGGAGAGGGCGGGACTCGAGCGAGAGGAGCCAATCAGCAGCGGCGCGCTCTACGATCCTCGTCTCCGCTATAAAAGCCGCTCCCGTGGTGCGTGTTAACGTCACAAATCGTTCGTACTTTGTCTCCAGTGCTTTTTGCATCCTAGGTCCCTTAACGATGTCTGGACGAGGCAAGACCGGTGGCAAATCTCGCGCCAAGGCAAAGTCCCGCTCTTCCCGCGCCGGCCTGCAGTTCCCCGTGGGTCGCGTTCACAGGCTGCTCCGCAAGGGCAATTACGCCCAGCGGGTCGGCGCTGGAGCACCCGTCTACCTGGCCGCCGTGCTCGAGTACCTTTCTGCCGAGATCCTCGAGCTGGCTGGCAATGCCGCCCGCGACAACAAGAAGACGAGGATCATCCCCCGACACCTGCAGCTCGCCGTGCGAAACGACGAGGAGCTCAACAAGCTCATGGGCGGCGTGACTATCGCCCAGGGCGGTGTGCTGCCCAACATCCAGGCCGTGCTGCTGCCCAAGAAGACCTCTCAGGCAAAGAAGTGAACGCGCCGCCGCCTCTACCACCACAACAACGGCTCTTTTCAGAGCCACCCACTTGCTTGCAAAGAGCTCGGACAGTCGTGCACAGGGGTTTTGTTATTAATAAGGACACCGTCGTCGAGTTGCCCTCGTCCCATATTGCTCGCAATTAAACGAATTCTCTGCTCATTCCAGATACCCTTTATGTCTAATTTAGGAACGGTATTTGAGCAGCATTCCAACATTGCATCAATCATGGAACATGGTTTAGAATAAATTGGGATGCCTATTGGAAGAAAGTATCGTGTTTTTTAAAGAATAAAACTCGCTCTTTTTGAGCGGTCAGATTACATGTGAAGAGGAGTCGGAGAATGGTTCAAGCACTTTGAGGGATCTGCGAGCCACCCTCACGCACCACGCACCACGCAAACACGACATCTCCGCTCTCACGACAACACGCACCAATCGCAAGCGCGGGGAAGAGCTGGACGGGGGGATCAGGGGTTAAAGGGCAGACACCGCTGGTCGCAAGAGACTGATCGTGGTGCTTTGTGTTGCCTTTGCCATGAATCGTCGAAGCGCGTTCACGATCTGTTGTTCTCCTGTAACGCGGTGGTCATTTCGATTTAAAGCTTTCGTGACTGCAGGGATTCATCTGCTTGGTTCTTTCGGTAAAGTCACGTAAGATGGAAATAATAAAATAATAATAATAATAAAAAAAGTAATTGTAAAATTTTATTATTAAAATAAAAATGCTATTTAATAATAAACTAATGAAAATAAAAATAATAAGTAAAAGATTTCTTTTTATTATTTTATTATTTAATAATGACGTCCACACCCCCCTCCCCACTGACTCGCGAGCCCACAGAGCGATGACGTCCACACCCCCCTCCCCACTGACCCGCGCGCCCACAGAGCGATGACGTCCACACCCCCCTCCCCACTGACTCGCGCGCCCACAGAGCAAGGATTGCAACAGGCGATGTCATTGGCTGCGCCGGATGCGACGGCCATCTTGTTTAGTTCATTTAGTTCACGGATCGCAGGGGGAGCGGGCGGCCATCTTGTCAGACAGAGGGACGGCCTCGCGAAGCCTGTTGCAGTAGGCCTCGCGAAGCCTTCTGCACTAGGCCTCGCGAGCCTCCTGCAGTAGGCCTCGCGAAGCCTTCTGCACTAGGCCTCGCGAAGCCTCCTGCAGTAGGCCTCGCGAAGCCTCCTGCAGTAGGCCTCGCGAAGCCTTCTCTGCAGTAGGCCTCGCGAAGCCTTCTCTGCAGTAGGCCTCGCGAAGCCTCCTGCACTAAGCCTCGCGAAGCCTTCTGCACTAGGCCTCGCGAAGCCTTCTGCACTAGGCCTCGCGAAGCCTTCTGCACAGGCCTCGCGAAGCCTTCTCTGCAATAGGCCTCGCGAAGCCTTCTCTGCAATAGGCCTCGCGAAGCCTTCTCTGCAGTAGGGCCTCGCGATGCCTCCTGCAGTAGGCCTCGCGAAGCCTTCTCTGCACTAGGCCTCGCGAAGCCCTCCTGCAGTAGGCCTCGCTGAAGCCTTCTCTGCACTAGGCCTCGCGAAGCCTTCCCTGCAGTAGGCCTCGCGAAGCCTTCTCTGGCAGTAGGCCTCTCGAAGCCTTCTCTGCAGTAGGCCTCGCGAAGCCTTCTGCACTAGGCCTTGCGAAGCCTTCTGCACTAGGCCTCGCGAAGCCTTCTCTGCAATAGGCCTCGCGAAGCTTCTCTGCAAGAGCTCGCGAAGCGTTGAATAAGGGCCTTCTCTGCAATAGGCCTCGCGAGCCTTCTCTGCAGTAGGCCTCGCGAAGCCTTCTCTGCAATAGGCCTCGCGAAGCTTCTCTGCAGTAGGCCTCGCGAAGCCTTCTGCACTAGGCCTCGCGAAGCCTTCTGCACTAGGCCTCGCGAAGCCTTCTCGCAGTAGGCCTCGCGAAGCCTTCTCTGCACTAGGCCTCGCGAAGCCTTCTCTGCAATAGGCCTCGCGAAGCCTTCTCTGCAGTAGGCCTCGCGATGCCTTCCCTGCAGTAGGCCTCGCGAAGCCTCCTGCAGTAGGCCTCGCGAAGCCTTCTGCACTAGGCTTCGCGAAGCCTTCCCTGCAGTAGGCCTCGCGAAGCCTTCTCTGCAGTAGGCCTCGCGAAGCCTCCTGCACTAGGCCTCGCGAAGCCTCCTGCAGTAGGCCTCGCGAAGCCTTCTGCACTAGGCCTCGCGAAGCCTTCTCTGCAGTAGGCCTCGCGATGCCTTCCCTGCAGTAGGCCTCGCGAAGCCTCCTTCACTAGGCCTCGCGAAGCCTCCTGCAGTAGGCCTCGCGAAGCCTTCTGCACTAGGCCTCGCGAAGCCTTCTGCACTAGGCCTCGCGAAGCCTTCTCTGCAATAGGCCTCGCGAAGCCTTCTCTGCAGTAGGCCTCGCGAAGCCTTCTCTGCAGTAGGCCTCGCGATGCCTTCCCTGCAGTAGGCCTCGCGAAGCCTCCTGCAGTAGGCCTCGCGAAGCCTAGTGCAGAAGGCTTCGCGAGGCCTACTCTGCAGTGGGCCTCGCGAAGCCTTCCCTGCAGTAGGCCTCGCGAAGCCTTCTCTGCAGTGGGCCTCGCGAAGCCTTCTCTGCAGTAGGCCTCGCGAAGCCTTCTCTGCAGTAGGCCTCGCGAAGCCTTCTCTGCAGTAGGCCTCGCGAAGCCTTTTCCGAAGTAGGCCTCGCGCCGTGCTTTTCGTGCACAAATAAGGCGATTAAATGTATCTTGTCTCTGTGTTAATAATGTATCTTGTCTCTGTGTTAAAAAAACGTGCTGCGTTTCAGTAAAGTAAATTTGAAGCGAAATTTATTATTACACTTGTTAAGCCAGGAAAGCCCCACTGAGTCAAAGGTTTTTGTAGGGTCCTGCCAAGTGTTTGCAGTAGGGGGCGATGTTGCTACACCAAATTGGACGATACGAAGGGAGAGATTGAGGCCTGGTTCTAGGCTTTAGGCCTAGCTGTAGGCTTTAGGGCGCTGTGAGTTAATTTTTAATTTAAATGTTTTAATGATTTATATAAAAGCTTTAAATTTAAATGTTTCTATTTAAAACATGAGGGAATGTAACATTGTTAAACATAACTCCCTTTCACACACGCGGGGGTACGATACGAAGGGAGAGTTTCAAGCCTAGTTCTAGGCTTTAGGCCTAGCTGTAGGCTTTAGGGCGCTGTGAGTTTTTTTTATTTAATTCAAAGTTTTAATTAAAAGCTATCTCAGGGAATAAGGGAATGTTACACGTGTCATGCCAAGTGTTTGCAGTAGGGGGCGATGTTGCTACCAGGATAGCGTAACTGAGTCTAAAGGTTTTTGTAGGGTCATGCCAAGTGTTTGCAGTAGGGGGCGATGTTGATACACGGACGGACAGTCAGACGGACGGACGGACGGACACATTAATCTATTGGTGGTCTGGTCCACTTCGTTCCCTACCAGTATAAAACCCCACCCACTCCCCCCACCCCCATCACCCCATCACTCCCCCCACCCCCATCACTCCCCCACTCCCCCACCCACACATCACTCCCCCCCACCCACATCACCCCCCCCAACCCCACTCCCCCCACCACTCACCCCCCTTCACTCCCCGCCACTTTTCCCACCACCCACTCCCCCCTCCCCATCACTCACCCCCCCCCACCCCCTCCGCCCCCCCCCACCCCTCCCACCCCCCACTCCCCCACCCCTCCCACCCTCAATTTCCCCCCCTCCCACCACTCACCAACCGCCATTCCGCCCCCACTCACCCCCACCCCCTCGTCCCCCTCTTCCCACACCCCCACACCCCCAACCGCCATTCCCCCCACCCCCCACTCCCCCCCTCACCCCCCCACACCCCCTCACCCCCCCCCTCACTCCCCCTCACTCCCCGCCACTCCCCCCACCCCCTCGTCCCCCCCACTCCCCCCCACCCACCAC